TAACATTTAATTTTAGTTATCAATAAAATCGACTTTGCTTCTAATCAGTAAAATATTAACAAATTAAGCAACACAAAAGAAAAACTGGGAAGAGTGTTTTTTTCTTCCACCTTTCATCTCATAGACAGTGATTTCGGATTTCATCAACAGGCGGATCAGCACTGTGTCATTAAGGGCCCGTCCGTGACATTTAAAAGGAAAGCTGTCATTACTGCCATAATCAGATGTGTGAGTATCTAATCAGAGTGTGTCCTTGAGCCCATGACCCAGTCTACATTAAACATCTCCCTCTGTTTACAATTGCTTTTACAACACTAACATTTCACTTGTGTGTAAAAAAAACAGCATGAGGGGCTGCCATGATAAAGCATAAACGTAAGCACATGATCAAATTAAGAGGGGGATTAATACTGTTGCTATTTTGTCTTATAAATCTTAAAAACAGAATTGATAAATCCTTAAAATTAATTTAATTACTTACCCTATGACATTTGAAACCAATTCTCCTTTTAAAGAGATAGTTCACCCAAAAATTAAAGATCTGCGATCCTTTACTAACCTGTCACTTGTTATAAACATGTCACAAAACAATTTATTTTTTCTGATGAATAAAAATACAGCTGTATGCAGACTTGCATTATATTTTTTCTACTTTAATGTGGCTAGTTTTTAACATTTTTCAATATATCTATCTGGGGTCACCCCAGCGATATGAACCGCCAACTTAGCCAGCATATGTTTTACACAGTGGATGCCCTTCCAGCTGCAACCCATCACTGGGAAACATCTATACACACTTATTCACACATATATATTGTATTCAACTGTATTACATATACAGTTACATATACAGTTAAAGTCAGAATTATTAGCCCTCATTTGAATTTTTTTTCTTTTACAAATATTTTGTTTAACAGAGCAAGGACATTTTTACAGTATGTCTAATAGGTTTTCTATCTGGAGAAAGTGGTATTTGTTTTTTTTTTTCGGCTAGAATTAGTGTAGTTTTTATTTTTATTTTTTAAAACATTTTAAGGTCAAAATTATTAGCCCCTTTAAGCTATACATTTTTTCAATAGTCTACAGAACAAACCATCATTACACAATATTGTCCAATTACCCTAACTTGCCTAGTGAGCCTAATTAACCTAGTCAAGCCTTTAAATGTCACTTTAAGCTGTATAGAAGTGTGTTAAAAAATATCTAGTAAAATAGTATTTACTGTCATCATGACAAAGATAAAATAAATCAGTTATAAGAAATGAGTTATTAAAACTATTATGATTTGAAATGTGTTGAAAAAAAAAAAAACCTTTCCATTAAACAGAAATTAGGAGAAAAAAATAAACAAGGGGTGGGGGTCTAATAATTCTGACTTCAACTGTATATAGTTTTTGTAGTTGCTGTTGTTTTACTTAAAGTGCTGACAAGGCCATTCACTTGTATTTTAATGATCACCTTATATCATTGTTTTAACTACAACCCATCCTGAATATTCTTCTTGAAGAAAAATTTGGATGATCTGAGGGTGAGCAAATTCACAGATTTTTTTTTCATCATTGTGATTGTCATTTTCAACATCTAATCAACCAATCATTCTTGAAAATGTCTTTGTTTACAATGGAAAAACAATTTACTTAAAGACATAGCAGATCTTTCTTTTAATAACTTCACTAAACAGTGAAACAAAGATTTAGTATGAAAACTTTATAACTTTTTTTAAAGAATGTACAGATCTAAAGATGATGACAGCACTTTTGTGTTAAGTGTGAATACATAATAGGTAGCATCTCTGCATCTTTGATCTCTAAACAATTTATTCTTCAGGATGCTCTGCTGTTACCATAGAGACAAACACACGCTTTGAGAGCCTCTCCAGTGAAGAGGCCCAAACCTTTCATCTGTTTATGACAACATGAGGACGACATTATTTGGAACATTATTTGTAGATTAAAACATTGTCATTTTTAATCAAACAATAAATCAGGCAAGCCGGAACTACGTTGAACTTTTACAAAAATAAAAATGTTATATATTTTAAATACTTAACTCTAAAAATTATGGAAAGATCGCTTAACAGCCTTTCAAAAGCCACAACATCGTTTAAAAGCCTTACCTGAAATATGATTCGTACTCATGAGTGTAAGTTAAGCCATAAAGGTCCTGTTATGATTATCGGAGGTAAAGGTCTGCTATTTTATTGGGCTTTCTAAAGACATGAGAACAAAAAGACTACTGATGTCTGACCTGACTGAAAAGATCCATTTCATGTGCTAACGTATAACGATGAAGAATACAGCGAAACGATTTTCTTCTTAATTAACGGGCTGTTTTGTACGTATAAACATGTAACGTTATCCTGTGTAATTGAAAAAAAGACCATAGCTGTTAACCAAGTCTTAGGAAGAAGTAAAAATAATATATTTAAGGTACAGTAAGTTAAAACATTACCTAGTGAATATCTTACCTTACAGACTGACCAAATATCTGGGATGTTCCTGGAAAAAAACTGAAGAAATCTCAGGTCGACTGTTTTCTTTGGTCTGCATTTGATGTTATAAAGGTTGACACAATGTCTTTAAACAAAACCACACGATTCCTTTTCGTCCCTGATGTCCATTCTGACTTTATACTTTTCCCGAAACTCTCACACCAACAGCTTCTTCACTTTTCCAGCTGTTTTGCCACAAGATTTGGGGGGGGGGGGGGGGGGGGTTATAGTTTTCTGAGGGTTTTATCACTGGATGGTATCTCCTCCCATTCCATCAAGCGATTCGTTCATGAAGGGACCCGACGTCACTTCTTTCGAAAACGATTGGTTAGTCTAACTGTCAATCAACAACTGGTCTCTTTTCCACGTGTGCATTTTTTCCTCTCAGACAGAACAAGTTGAAGATACAACAAACGGAAATTTCAGTCTAGACTAGAGGTTTCAAGTTGTGTTGAAAGCATATTAGCGCAAGCTTTTTTGTTTTAATATATTATAAAAACCTTTGTAAGTCATTATAGTTGGATAGACTGATTTAAATGTTCTTGTTATACACTTTAAGGTATTTGAAAAAGATTGTCTATGGTAACGTTACTTGTATTGTTTTATTCATAGAAGCACAGAAGTATTCACAGAGATTTGGTGGTTTTCCTCTAAAGTTGTTGTATCGTTTGTTTTGATCACAGTAGCATTCGCAGGATTTTGGTGGCTTTTCTCTAAAGTTGTTGTGTCTTTTATAATTGTAGGGCGGGATATGAGGGCAGGATTTTGTACGTGCATTAAAGCACGGTCAGGAGAGGGCCTGGAAACTAAAGAAAAAAAAACTTCTAGTAGGCTATACTCTAGACAGAATCATCATAATCACACAAAGTTTTTATTAGGCTATTTTGTATGGAACATTTTCATATCTAGTTCCTGATTCTAGAAATTTGGAGAATATTTTAAACCAAAAGGATTTTGGCAGTGTCTGGGATTTTTTTTGAGACACCAAGGTGTTCAAAAATGTTAGCATTTTGTTAAAATCTTAACAGCTTGCTCACAAATGTCAGCAATCTGTCAATCATGCCAGTTACAGTATGCATCACTATACACAAATGCCAATGTTATCAACATATTAAAACATTTACCTACATGTCACCCATGTGTTATATCATGATAGCTATCATGTAAAACAGTGTTTCTCAACCACGTTCCTGGACAACCACCAACACTGCAAGTTTTGGATGTCTCCTTTGTCTGTCATGCCCATTACAGGTCTTTCAGTCTATGCTAATGAGCTGGTGATCTAAATCAGGTGTGTTTGGTTAAGGATACGAGAAAAATGTTAAACATTCTAGTAACTTGTTAAAACATGGTAGCAAAGGGATAAATCTTATAATTTTTGTCAACTGAACTTTAACCTAAAACAAACTTGCATACTGTAACATTTATTACACTTTGTGTTACTGATGATGGCAACGAATGAATTGTATTTTCTTCCTATTCATATTTTTAGATCAATATAGAACAGTATTAATTTTACTCAAATTAATGTAGCATGAGTTAATACATTAGCAATCGTCAGATTCTACACCACTCAAAAAAAACTTTTTTTTTTTTACTTGTTCAAACTACTTAATTAAAATGAGCTGAAACAACACAATTCTGGATACTTCATTGGGACAATTTATTTTTTATGTTCAATCCACATAAATTTGTTAAAAGTGTTAAGCTAACTTAATTGATTTGTGTTGGGACAACATGAATAAATTGTGTGAAACCCTGCGTTTTTAGTGTATAAGGATATTTAATATTAATTTAATAGACTGCATTACTAAATGTTTTTATGTAAATTTGTAATCAGACTACACTTTTAACATAATCAATAAAGCTGCCAATATTATTTATTTCACACCTAAAGTTTACATTTAATGGCACTCATATCACTTAACTACTTATGCACTCAAAAAAATAAATAAATATTTTTAAACAAAGTAGTGACATGTACACTGTGAAAAAAATTCCGTAATTTAGCAGTTTTAATTATTTGTGATCTATGTTAATTTTATTTTTCCTTATTTATTTTTGCTTTTTAATTGTGTGATGGGACCTTTATCTTCCTTCCAACAACTTTTAACCTTGAAAAGTAAAAAAAAGTGACTTAATGTTAAGTTTTCTTAACATTTCGATAGTTAAAAGTGATATATTGTCTGGGTTGGTGTTAAATATTATAGTATAAATTCCTTGTAGCAGTACATTTTCTGTTATTTTGCAGACTTATTTCTCTATAAGATTTCTTATACATTTTATTGTTTCAAACTACTAACATGTCAACAAACGTCACTTTGTTAAACTGTAGAGTTGAATTTTCAACATCAAAAGTCAGCAGAGCAGAGATCAATGTCTCATAATGCATTTCACATCTGTAAATAAAGGGAAAACACTTGTGAATAGAAAAATACAGAAAATTAAAATATATTCTTCCAGCGTATGAAAAGAACAGCTCTATAATAAAAAGAAATACAACAATGTAGGAATTTCTTAACCTCTAAATATTTAATTACATGAATGAATTTGGTACAAACAACATATATAACTCTGAAACAATCATTTACACTTTAGATTATTATAACACCCTGGACATTTTTTTCTGGAATTTGGCATTTGTACATTAACAGGTAATGCAGATGTGCAAAATGTGGAATACAGAGTGGAGAGAGATGACGAAACAAAAAGACTCATGAGGTTAGACACTTAGCATGCATTATTTTTCCAAGAGTATTTGACTGCGGACTTGCTGTAAGCTGAGACTTGCAATATCAGACATGCAATCTCAGACACAAAGCACTCAATGGAGCTAGTGATGTTACTGTGAGGGGTGGGGTTGGCGTCAGATGTGCCTTTTTCAGCCTAGTCGAACTCACAACGCCATAGAGAAAAAAAGAGGGGGTAAATCATAAAAGGAGGGTAAAGGACAAAGTACAAATTCTCTTGAGATTAATAAGAACATGCATATTCTAAATGGTCTAATCTCATGCAGCATATGCAAGCAACAGGCTGTATAACCATGCAGGAAAGCTAGACAGCTAGCTAAAGTTTTAAGCCCTTGTCTTCACCCAGAGATTATGGTCTTATTTTGTTTTTATTTACATATAAACACTAAATCAGTGCACAGAGTCACATGCAGCAAGCAGACATAGAACTGATCATGCGGTGAAAAATATAGACATTGTCAGGGAAAATGAATGCGAGCAGAGGACCAGTAGATGGGCGCAGGCATGGTCACATGAACTCGACAGCTGGGACATGACTGTCTCTGCCAAAACCATTTTTCAATGCACTGAAAGAGAGGGAAGCCAAACGATGGAAGGTCATTAAGAGTCTAGCTGTAATACAGAAAATTGAAAATAATTGTAACATACATTTGCACATGCTACAAAATGTTGAAACATTGCTGATAAAGAGCGACACGCTAAACAAAATATATACTTTCAGTCTGAATTGACGTTTGTGTTATATATACGGATATATAAAACTCTTTTAATCTACATTTTGCTTAAATGCTTGAATAATGGTTAATGAATAAAAAATACGAGTTTTTTTAAAAGCATAAATGCTAAAGGAAACAATGTCGATTTCACTGTCAATGCTCTAAATGTCACTATGCAGTGTACAACATGAATACGCTTGCATGACAACTCCACGTTCAAAAACAGATCTGTTGACCTTATGAGTGTCAGATTTGTGCCCCTGTATTGATTTCCATTACAGTAGCGTGATTAGCCACAAGCTAATTTCCAGCATGTGCATTTAAAAAGCTATAGCCTCTCAATTGCAACTCCTGACATATGACCTGCAAATTCAGGATACTTAAACACAGAAGAATGGCAGACAGTACTAAAACTTATCACTTTTTTATTGTAATATACATATAAAAATTAATTATAAATGACTTACTGAACAATTAAACGATTAATTAATGAATAAAAGAGAGGAAAACAAAGAATCCCTGCAAATTAGAGATCCTGTTGAGGACTTTAAAACAAATATGGTGTGTAGGTAAACACAAAATCTAAACGATTATTGGTACACTGTTACACTGAAAATAATTAACGTTGTCGACGTAAAGAGAGTTGGCGACGGGGCAACCGATACTCCTCTTGTCCTGGACAGAATGGTATCTCCTTTCCTCGTTCACACGCCGGTGCAGAACTCCCACTACGTGGCCGTGTGCCATGCTCGGGCCATTTTGTCTTCCCAGTCCATAATTAGCGACAGCAGGTTTAGTATCACAAGAAAAGCAAGTAAACAGATGAACTCCATGCATTCCAGAAGGGGGAAAATTATGAATATCAAAAACATCCTTGTGTTTTTGGTGTCATGCATAAAGCTTTGTTTAATATGAGGTGTGAAATGCACTATTGAGGGTTCAGTTTGAAGGAGGGAACACATGCAAGGTAATGATCAAGTGCTGTACTGCACAACAAGTGTTGATAGGTTGGTTTGATGCTGATGGCAGGCAACTATTATAGGAAGTGATTACCTCTTTATGAAAATGATGGCCACAGTAAAGCTCTTGGAAACTCCCCCTTTCTTTCCGTAGTCCTTCATGGCAAATGAGACATATGCTATCTGCATCTGCCTACAAATACACAAGCCAAAATCATCCATTAGTATAAGGATATTCATGCATTTTGTCTACAGTGCACTGTAAAAAAATTGCTGTATAATTTACAGAACTGGCACTTCTGGTTGCCAGAAATACTGTAAAATATACAAGTGCACTTTAAATTAACAGTTACAATTGTGCTATAGTTTTAAAGTATAGTATTAATTTACAGTGTGCTTGTAAGTTTTGCAATATTACTGGCAATTTTTACAGTATTACTGGCAAAATTTTTAGAGTAGTATAAATAAACTATTATTAATTTACAGTGCAACAGTAATACAGTCAATTAAAAGCATTTTTACAGTGTATACCACAGCATAGTATATTACACTGTGGACGTAAAAAATATTCAAAGATAATTCCTTAGATAAATTTTTTTTTTAAGGTGAATGATTGTAAACAATTTATTTAAGCTAAATTTAAACAAAAAATTAAATAGAACATCAAGTTAAATTTAATTTGTTTGTTTAAATCAGTCTTTCTCAACCATGTTCCTGGAGGATCACCAACACTGCATGTTTTGGATGTCTTCTTTGTCTGTCACACCCATTACAGGTCTCTCAGCCTCTGCTGTGCTGATAATCTGAATCAGGTGTGTTTGGTTAAAAAGATAAGGAAAATGTGCAGACCTGGTGGTCCTCCAGGAACGTGGTTGAGAAACACTGGTTTAAATTCAACCTATATAAAATGTTTGCTACAGTTTTGTAGAAATATTGTTTTTTCAGTGTAGTATTCATTGCCAGGTTTGAGAATTTGTAATATGTTTGTTGTTATGTTTATATTTTTAAAATGGGTGTCATGGTGGCGCAGTGGGTAGCACAATCGCCTTACAGCAGCCCTGGTTCGAGCCCAGGCTTGATCAGTTGGCATTTCTGTTAGGAGTTTGCATGCTCTCCCTGTGTTCACGTGGGTTTCCTCTGGTAACTCCAGTTTCCCTCACAGTCCAAAGACAGGCGCAATAGGTGAATTGAATAAGCTAAATTGGACGTACCATATGTGTGTGAATGTGAGAGTGTATGGGTGTTTCCCAGTGTTGGGTTGCAGCTGAAAGGGCATCTGCTGCGTAAAATATATGCTAAATTAAGTTGGCAGTTCATTCCGTTGTGGCGACCCCTTTTTAATAAAGGGACTAAGCCGAAAAGAAAACAAATTAATGAATATTTTAAAATTTTAATTAATTCCTATTATTGAACGGATTAATTTTCCATAACCACTATTCCAGTCTTCCTCCAGAAATCATTACAATATCCCCATTTTGAGCTGAAACCTGCATTGATATTCATTTATTTATTCTTGTTGCTTATTATCATGCTTTGATGAATAAAGTGGAAAAAAAAACAGGATCTGTGTAAAAGTAAATGATCATTGTAGTATTAACTCTCATAATTGAGAGACGTCTTTCCTATGAGATCCAAGTGGAGTCCGAGTGACTGGCAGTAAATGTAATGCAGACAACCTCCAGGTGACCGGTGAAGAACATTATGAAGTAGACAAGATGGGGTTTGTCCTTTGAGTGGCCATTGGAGTACGTTATAAAGCAGAAGAAATGAGGACGACCTCAAGTGACCAGCAGCAAAAATGATGTGGATGTCCTCTGAGTGACCAACAGAGAACTTTATAAATTGGATGAAATGGGGAACGTCCTCGATTGACCAGCAGTAAACATTATGCGGGCGTTCTTCAAGTGTCTGGCAGAGAATGTTTTAAAGCAAACAAAATGAGGACATCCTGTTATTGCGACAGCTGAAATTATAGGTTTACACGAGTGAATGAAGAAAAGCAATGTAAAAAATGCTGAATTTGTATTCATTTTTGGTGGTAAAATATCAGAACAAGTTCTCTTGGGGTAGCCTACGTCTTTTGTTCTCGACCAAAAAGAAAATGCTGCATTTAGTTCTGGTTTAGTTAGTATTCACACAAAGGTTTTATGATGTACTCTACCTGACAAAAGTCTTGTCATCGATCCCAGTTGTAAGCAAATAATAATTGTGACAACAAATAATAACTTGATGTCTAGTTGATCTATTGGAAAAGTGGCAGAAGGTAGATTTTTCCAATGATTCATCTGTTGAACTGCATCCCAATCATCACAAATACTATTGGAACCCCCATGGACTTAAGATTCTCACAGAAATCAGTTTGCTGAAGGAAAAATCATGGTTTGGGGTAACATTCTGAGGTATCAAGTTAATTGTGCTGCCAGTTACATTACAAACCACAGGAGAGGTCAAATTCTTCAGCAAGATAGCGTTCCTTCTCATACTTTAGCCTCCACATCAAAGTTCCTGAAAGCAAAGAAGGTCAAGGTGATCCAGGATTGGCCAGCCCAGTAACCAGGCAAAACATTATTGAGCATGGGGTAAGATGCAGGAGGAGGCATTGAAGATGAATCCAAAGAAATTTGATGAACTCTGGGAGTCCTACAAGAACGTTTTCTTTGCAATTCCAGATGACTTTATTAATGAGTTATTTGAGTCATTGCAGAGATGTATGGATGCAGTCCTCCAAGCTCATGGGAGTCATACACAAAATTAATGCTTTATCCACTGCACCATGAATTTATATTTTGTACTGTGCATTATTTTGGTTAAGTGACAAAACAGTTGTCTAAGTAAAGTCAGACCTCACTATCTTAATTAAATCTTTAAAAATCAAGGCCTGAACACATTTTATTTTGGAAAATAAGCGTAATCTAGAGGCATTTGGCTTTCATATAAATCACTTCTGATACCAAATGATCAACTACAAGTCAAGCTATTATTTGTTGTTCCTAAAACTTGGATAGGCAACAAGACTTTTGTCAGGTAGTGTATATTTTGTGATGACTGTGGTGATTTTTATTTAGTCAAAGTGAACATCACAAGCTTATTAAATGTCTAAAAGGAGTCAAATATTATGTAATTTTTACCAGTCAAGATGAAGGGCTTATAAAATGTGTAATAGAGCCAAGACAGCAACAGGAATTAAAAGGACATGTGTTTCTGATATCTAGTGTTAAACTGCATTGGTCACTATGCAAGAACTATAATTTGACATGAAACAACAGCTTAAGGATTGAGTTATTTTTAATGTTGTGTCTTGTAAAATCATATCTAGTTGTTTGATTTGATATCTTGGTCTGTATTATATTGTAACCCAGGACATGCCTAAAATTAGATAAACTAAACCATTTCTATACATATATGAGAGATAATCTGGGTGGGAAATAGCAACTCAAAGCGTATTTAGTTTTGAGGAAAACTCTTGGATCATTTACTTTCAGACCATGGGTTTGATAATTGATGTCACCTTGTGGTTGTGGAAACGCAGCCTCCTCTCTAAGCACTCAGAGAGCTCAGGGATGGTGGTGATGTGACATTCAGGTCCCACTTTGTTTCGGCTGCTTTCATCTGAAGACACACGGCGGGCGCGAGGGTGAGAGTGCACCTCTTTGTCCTCACGGCTCTTTAGATGGACAGGCACAGGGGCCATGGTGTTAACATGGAGATGATTCGCCTGCATGGCTTCTAGCTGAGACTGTTTAGTACAGAAAGAAAGTAAGGGAGAAAGAAAGAAAGACCATGACATAAAAAGAAGAGATGAGCAGTCAGCAATATTGAATCTGAATCTTTAAATGCTAAAGAAATGTATTAAATGAGTAGTGATTATATGAAGTTATTGTTGTAAAGCTTAATATAAATGGTTATATAAGACACTTTGATAATCATTTTTCGTTTAATTATAGTACAGTTAAACAGACAAAAACCACCAAGCAAAACTAGTCCAAAGCACATCAAATAAACGCCTTACATCCTTTTAAAAGACATCAACTGAGGAGCCAGAATGAAAGTGTACAATCTTGGCATGCATCATCTCTGCGACCGCCCCCACTCTGTACGGGGTATATTATTGTGGTGACCGAAGGATAGCAGCACTTGTTAAAGCCAACTTCAGACATGAACCTAGCAGTCATTCTGCATGGTGAGCGACCGTATGAGGTGCAGTTTGAGTTATCCTAGTTTTACTGCACATTCAGAGGTTTATGGTGAGACTTAATTGTAGCAACTGTGGGGACAGTTGTCGTATATAGCCAGAAACTACAGTTAAAAGCTTAGGAAAGAGTTTTAAGTAAGTGTGACAGTTAGGAAGTAATGAAATCCCTTGCCTCAGGATATTTTCTCCTATACCCTTAAGTTAAATTACTTAAGGGTTTTTATGCAGCCTGCACACATATTCAGCAAACTTTTGCATGTCCAGAAAGTGCTCTAATCATTAGATGTTCAGACACGAAACCTGTATTGCATGTGCAAGAGACATTCTAAAGCTGTTTTGAAAGTCCTGTAAGTATCCAAGGGCAGTCAATAAAAAAAATCCCTAATTATCAGACATTCAGACACAAAATGTTTTCCAAAAGATGCCCAAAAGTTTTGCAAGTCTAGAAGAGATCCAAAAGTGGCCCCTGATCATCAGACAATTCAGATTCTGAACCTGTTTTGCATATCCCATAGACTGCCCGAACTGCCGGATGCTACAGACATGATCTGAACATCTCCACAATGTCACATGTTTTGTGAAAATAGTCTGTAAGCTCAGCCAAGAAAGAGTCTAATCAATTATTTTTCTTGAGCAGCCCATAATGACTTGTACAAGTGTTTCACTTAAAGTCAAGCTAATCAAAGGGGCTTTACAGAGTAATCTTGAGGGCAATACTATCATTCACTTTTGTCTCTTGGGCTGTATTACATGCAATCTGTTTTTATTAGATTTTTAAAATACAGGACACACTGCAAATGTTTGAATTACAGCTACACAAAGATAAAAAAATATATATTTTATTTTAATGCATATCCTATATGTACCACAATTAATTTCAAGACTCTGGAGCTAAATGATTTATAATTCATTTATTTTCTTTCGACTTAGTCTCTGATTTATCAGAGGTCACCACAACAGAATGAACCCCTAACTTTTCCAGCATATCGTCACCTTGGAATTAGGGTTCTATCTGTAATCTGAATGATTTTGAGATATTGAGCTTCAAAGTTTTTGCATTACATAGCAAACAGTATGTGTGTAACATTTGTTTTTTAAATAAAAAAGTCTTCAAATGAAAACAACTTATAAAAAACACCCTACGATGTAAATAAGTTGTTACTTAATAAAAATATGTCAATAACTCAATTTTGACAAAAATGTCAGACAGAACCTTATAATTCTTTGTTGACGATATGTCTTAAACAGCGGATGCCCTTCCAGCCACAACCCAGAACTGGGAAACATTCATATACTCTGCATTCGCACACACTCATACACTATGTTTAATTTAGTTCATCCAATTTACCTATAGCGCAAGTCTTTGGACTGTGGGGGCGACTAGAGCACCCGGAGGAAACCCACGCCAAAATGGGGAGAACATGCAAACTCCACAAAGAAATGCCACCTGGTCAAACTGGTACTCAAGCCAGCAACAATCTTGCTGTGAGGTGACAGTGCTAACCACTGAGCCGCCGATTCATAATAATGTTTAAATAATTAACGTTCTATTTCATTTTCAGATTTTATGCATTTAAAATAGTGTAAAATCCCCTCAGTGGGTGACTTTTGAAATAACAACCTGTTTGCACTGATTTGATTGCCAAAACTAAGGCTGTAGCAGTTGTAGAGAAGTTTAATAAGGTTAATATAGCTATAAAGTTGCGTGCAGATTGGATGAACAGGTTAATCTAATCAATTGCCACAAAATGAGAAGCTATACACTCTTGGTTTGGTAACAGATGATAAAATTTAACTGATAACTGGAATCAGAGAAAGGTATAAAACGAAACCGCTGATCACAAAGTGAAGTAAAGCAAACAAGTCATTTCCATTTTGTCTAATACTGTACCTTTATCATGAAACTTTTTTATTTAAAGCTTGCATGCAAATGGACAAAAAGTTACTCTGGTAGCTCTGGTTGACATGAATTTATCATAACACATAACAGATTTGTTTGTTTTTATTTAAAATCATCAGTAAGATTCATTCATTGCTTTTTTTCATGATAAACAATTCTTATTATGTAAGCAAGTACAAGGCATTTTATTTATACAGCACAATTAAAGTTAGTTGACCTGTGCTCTGTGAGGCGTGAGAAAGAGCATGTGATGCTGCCATATGTGAGGAAGAGAATGAATCTCTGCTGGGTCACCACCTCTAATCAGAGCACACTTTCCTGTTTCCAAAGAGTTGCTCTTCCGAAAGCCATTATGCACAGTGTTGCTGCTTTGTTTACAAGATCAACTGAGTCTGCATGTCAAACACAGCAAATCATATTATAAGCTACAGTATAAACATACAAAAATAGACCATGAGTGGACTTGCTCCTAGATGCTTTAAAGTATGAGGATTTGGGTTGTAGTGAGTGATAAGAAAGGAATGCTCATGTCAACATTCCTCTTACGCATTATGAAATCAGTAGCTTATTTATTTTATAAAATGGCAGCTGTGGCTCTAGAAAAAGTTGAATAATAGAGAACTAAAGTTATAAGTAGTGACTTTTTAAAAATATTTACTAAACCACAATTGGAGACATAATTTGTTGTTTATAAACAATGACATTACAATCTATTTGATTGGAAATCCTTGCTGTGCTGTGACGTTCTCAATAGGATACCACATTTTATTCTTAAATATGATGTGGGAATTAAGACAGTATCTAAATGAAGCATAAACTTTCATTTTTCTCATGTTTTTTTTTATTTTTTTTAACCTAAAATTAAAATCTAAATTTGTTCGATTCACACGAAACTTGGCATTCAGGCAAATTCAATTAGCCAATATGTTGCAAAGATGTAAGCGAACACTCATATTTACAGTCTAGCTTATATACCAATACAAATTTGCCAAAACTTACATTTTTGACAGTGATTTGAGCATCAAATTGCACCAAAGGTGTTTGCAACGACTGAACACACACTGTCAGCTCTGCAATAATATAAACTGTGAAGTTGCAAAGTGGTATGCATCTTCTTTGATTGCTGTTTCTAATATGAGTTTATACTTCAATACAGGCAGTCAATCTTCAGCAGGTATTAAAATAAAATCTGAATGGCCCTCCATTAAAAAAAACAGCCAAAATCTTGGTAGGTAAAATTTTTAGGAAATGACTGAACAATGTGCTTTAAAACCAGCGACCTTCTTGCTGTTAGGCAACAGTGCTAAACACTGAGCCGCCGCTCCTTAATATACAGTTGAAGTCAGAATTATTAGCCCGCCTTTGAATTATTTTGTCTTTTTTAAATATTTCCCAAATAATGTTTAACAGAGCAAGGAGCAGTGTATAGTAAAATATTATGTACTGTCACCATGGCACAGATAAAATAAATTAGTTTGAGTTACTAAAATTATTGTGTTTAGAAATGTGTTGTAATAATCTTCTCTCTGTTAAAAAGACATTGAGGAAAACAATAAACAGGGGGGCTAATAATTCTGGCTTCAACTGTATATCCTTTTTTAAAATGCGAAAATGAATTGCAAATAATAACATAAAATAATGTATATTTTAATTATAAATTTGCTGTTATACAATATTTGAAATTTGTGATCATTTACTATTAGAGACAAAATTATTTTTGTTTTGTTTTTAATTATTTTAGTTGTACAAATTTCGACATTATATATATATATATATATATATATATATATATATATATTCATTCATTCATTTTCTTATCGGCTTAGTCTCTTTATTAATCCGGGGTCGCCACAGCGGAATTAACCACCAACTTATTCAGCACATTTTTAAGCAGCGGATGCCCTTCCAGCCGCAACCCATCTCTGGGAAACATCCACACACACACACACACACACACACACACACACACACACACACACACACACACACACACACACACACACACACACACACACACACACACACACAAACACTTATACACTACAGAAAATTTTGTCTACCCAATTCACCTTTACCACATGTCTTTGGACAGTGGGGGAAACCAGAGCACCTGGAGGAACATGCAAACTCTACACAGAAACGCCAACTGAGGCGAGGTTCGAACCAGCGACCTTCTTGCTGTGAGGCGACAGCGCTACCTACCTACTGAATATATAGATATTCATATTACTTTAATGTGTTGTTGTATCTAAACAGACTGGTTTGTAGTACATGAAAATTTACTGTTTGATGTACTTTGATATTAAAGTGGCTAATACATTTCTCACCACAGATATAGCAGAATAGCTTGCACATTCACTGTAAATATTAAACGAGAAATGTCAATATGACATCATGTTTTGATAATACTTTACATGTTTTGGCTCCATTTTTGTTTGAGAATTGTCTTGATGTTTTAAATAATTTTAATAATGTACTGTAAGTCACAGGAAATGACTTAAAGCAGCAACCACCTTCAATAGTTTTGTAAATTATTGATTATTAAGTATTATAAGTTCACAAAAAAAAAAAAAAATACATTTTCATCCTTTACTATCCCTTGGCTTGTTCCAAACATGTTTAGGTTTCTGTTGAACACAAAAGAAAATATTTTGAAGAAAGCTGAAAACCTGTAACCATTGACTTCCATAATATTTATTTGTCATACTACGATGTCAATGGTAAGAACAGCTTTCTTTAAAGTATTTTCTTTTTTGTTCAGCAAAAAATGTTTGTTTGTGTACTTTCTTTAAGACAAAGCAATCATAAAATATACAACATTTCCATCATACAATATAGTTTATTATGCTAACTGTTGCCTCATTTCACAATGAGTTGACTAATCAGAATTAAAAGTTAAAACTATTTGAATTGAAACATTTTATACCACATATGCGTTCAATCTCTGGGTTTTGGTTCATTTCAAATTATATTTAATTACTGACATCACAAGCTTACCATGCAAGGCAGTGATGCACGGCGGTCAGCTTTCTTGCGGGACGGCCTCCTGAAGCTCCTCTTCCTCTCTTTGGCGTGGTCCTCCCCAACCCCGTGGCCCCAATAACTGCTCATCCACTTGGTAAAGTTGCCATCATCATCGTCCTCATTGTCCATAATAATTGCTGGAAGCAGCCGAAGAGACAGCTTGAGACGTGTAGTGTGGAGCACTCTATGAGGCTCCTGTGTCCTGGAAAAAAAGGCTGATGATCCAACCGGCTCAGACGGACCTGATGTTGACGTTTGTTGTCCTGGAGCTTCACAGAACCTCTTTCATTGAAGGTCTAGACTCCACGATGAGCTCGGCTTGGCTCACCGATAGATTTATAATTAGATTTCTCCCAGTTTGTGTGGGTTTAAGCCGACCCAAAAATATGTACACACAGCCTTTGTCCAAGACTCTAAATAAGTGAATCCCCTTAACATGAGAGAGGGAGGGAAATGTAATGTAGTATAAGGGCGGTAGAGGGGTAAATGAGAGGGAGAGGGTGAGCTGGTGAGATATAGAGATAGAGAGAGAGAGAGAGAGAGAGAGAGAGGATGGTTTTTTGGGTTGCTGCTCTGCTTTTAATCTTTCCATTACAAAGTGATGGGCCTGAGGGTGGAGGGTGGGAGTTTGTCACACATGCACACAAACACACACACACCAATTCTCCCATAGTTTCCACTCACTGAGCACATCAAACCTGCCAATAATTATGGACCGCAGCAGGACAGACCAGTGTGTGTGGGAGAGTCAGTGTGATCATGTATTTATGTTTTAGTGCTGTCTGATAATGAGTAAAGTAAGACTGGCTTGTCGATGTAGATTGGCATCCATCGAGTTTAGTGGCTAGACTTTGTTCTGATTGTGTATGTGACACGTGCTTTTTTAGTGTAACTATTGGGGTAGAGAGATTGGTTGTTTTGGAGTCATTGAAACATTGTTATGGATGTTAATGAAACAGCATAAATAATATTATAATGATAATAATGATAATAATAATAATAATAATAATAATAATAATAATAATAATAATAATAATAATAATGTGTCACATTTGAAATGAGTTGTATTATTTGCTTTAAAAAAAAAAATAAAAGTAAAATAGTGTTGGTAAAAGTTACTTGAAGGTAATGCATTACAATATTGAGTTACTCCCCAAAAAGCAACTAGTTGCATTACTTAGTTCCTTTTTAAAGTAAGTCACACATTAGGTTACTTTTGAGTTACTTTTGCGTTACTTTGTATTACCGGGCAGAGGCTTGATCTCTTTCAGAGCTTGTTTTCTTTTCTTTCTTAATAGAGGAGTTCTGTAATTACCAACACACTTACCTACAGCTTCATTTACCTTAAAAAAAAAAAAAAAAAAAAAACACACATCAAAAAGGTATATTTTATTTAGGATGTTTTTTGAGAACTTCCCAACCCCAGAGCTATACATGTTGTATAAATAGATTATTGAAAGTTTAAAGCAATGTGTTTGCTACTTTCATATTGTTTGTCTTAAGTACAATTCAACATAAAATCACTGTCTATTGAGACAATTCCCTTTTCTTTTTGTTCGATGCGTTCAAAATAATGAACACATTCTCTTAATGACTGCGTGATTTATTATGACTACTTTAATTTTAATTCAGAATTTTTTAAAAAGCTAATTAATTAAACTAAAAAGTAACTCAAATATTATTACTTTTTAAAAGTAATGCATAACAGTACTTTACTCGTTACTTAGAAAAGTAATATTATTATGTAACTTGTGTTACTTAACCCCCAACTCTGATAATAATGTGTTATATATTTGGTTATGATTATTTATTGTGTGATCTTATTTCATGATAAATGGTGTGGTTTATACATTAAAATATTATAATATTATTTTATAATGCTTCATATATGAAGGCTTTAAGGTAATGTTCCTTAATATTTGTATTTGTATTTTTTTTCAAAGCTTTTAAATGGAAAGTCTTGAATACTGTGCATGAAACTCCTATTCATAATTTTTCATATCTTTGAATAAATTACTGTAATAAAAAGAGGAATATGCATTGCAGATTCCTTGTGGTTAAGATTATCCAGTGTCATTCAATGCAATATTAGGTGCATTAGATAGCATGAAAAGTAGATTAAATAAATAAAAAATAAAATAAAAATAAATTATTAAATTAAAAAATAAATAAATAATATATATTTTATAAAGATTATATAAAGGCTTCAAGTAAAGTGTCATTGGGTATTTTATTTATTGTTTGTGCAATTAAAAAAATCTATCTATGGCAACTAAATTTAAATCTTCTTTATCTTATAAAGCATCTTATAATGCACTATGTAGACATAATATTGTATGTTTTTTGTTTTGTTTAAATGAATTAAAAGTGTCTTATTGCATCTCAAATTGTTTATTTGTCATGAGTATAATGCATTATACTTTATCAATGAATAGCAACGAATAGATATAGCAAAACATTTTTAATTACTAATCATGATATCATAAAGTGCATTATAAGGTGCATTATTTTTACTCAAACTGGGTACAAAAATCAGGTTTAAAGGCTTAGTAAATAATACATGTTCATTTTACAAAATGTATACTTTTAATACATTACAGAGTCTCAAATGGGTGAATAATAACACATTGAGTCTCCCTAAAGAGAAGCTCCATCATATATTAGCAAAAAGCACAAGATTCAGCCAAATTTGCCTTCCATTTTAAACATTGCAGCTGCATGTTCAGTAGTCCGTGTACTTTCAGCTGACCCCATTTTAGAATATGATAAACCCCCTCCCCTTCTGGAGGAAGCAATCTGGGGCACACAACAACCACCCCCAAGCCTTGTCTACTGTCCTGCTCCAGTTGTTGCCCCCGCTGCACTCTGGGGCAGCAGAGCGTACAGTATGAGAACCAGAGACTCTGATGATAAACGTCACCTGTGGTCATGTCTGTTTGATCCTTGCACCTAATTGGAAGGGTGGTGGTGTTGTTGTTTCTGGGTCACAACAGTGTACGCCCATTTATTTGTTGCATTCTGTGTGTTTCACAGAGAAATATTACCTGCATTAGTCATGAAGGAAACACATTTGCAGAATGCGCATCTATATATTTGACTCTGGACCACAAAATCTGTGTTATGTATATAGGTATATTTTTGGCAATAACCAAATATATATCGCATGGGTCAAAATTTCAGATTTAATTTGAAGGTACCCTATAATTTATTCAATATGTTCTTGTTCTCTGATATCTACATTTTATGTATGTGGCTGAGGTAAGTAAAAAAATCTTAATAATTTTATATGCTCCTTAATAAATAGAGAAATAGCCCCTATAGATTCAGAATCTCCACATTGACCACATCTGGAATGATCATGAATATTGAACGTGCATTAAACACTCATAGGGCAACATGGCTCAGTGGTTAGCACAGTAGCCTTACAGCAAGAAGGTTGCTGGCCCCGGCTGGGTCAGTCGGCATTTCTGTGTGGAGTTTGCATGCTCTACCTATGTTGGTGTGGGTTTCCTCCAGGTGCACTGGTTTCCCCAACAAGTCCAAAGACAACCGCTCTAGGTGAATTGGGTAGGCTAAATTGCCCATATTGAATGTGTGTAACTGAGTGTGTATGGTTGTTTCCCAGTGATGGGTTGCAGCAATAAGGGCTAAGGGCATAATCCACTGGGTAAAACATATGCTGGATAAGTTGGTGGTTCATTCCGCTGTGGCAACCCCTGATTAATAAAGGGACTAAGCCGAAAAGAAATGAATAAATTACCCCTATAGAATCAGAATCTCCATATCGATCACATCTGGAATGGTCGTGAATATTTACCGTGCATTAAACACTCATAAGGCGACAAGGTCACTGGTTAGAGTCCCGGCTGGGTCAGTAGGCATTTCTGTGTGGAGTTTGCATGTTCTCCCCATGTTGGCGTGGGTTTCTTCCAGGGGCTCCGGCCTCCCCCAAAGTCCAAAGACATGTGCTATAGGTGAATTGAATAAGCTAAATAGGCGGTAGTGTGTGTTTGCATGAGTGTGTATAGATGTTTTCCAGTATTGGGTTGCAGCTGGAAAGGCATCCCCTGTGTAAAACATATGCTGAAATAGTTGGCGGTTCATTCCTCTGTGGAGACCCTTGATGAATAAAGGGACTGAGCTGAAGGAAAATGAATGAATAAATGAATACACACTCATACTCAGCATTGTACGTGTGTTTGTTGCCTCATTATAAACATACATAACAAATTTTACAATTTAAATGATAAATAAAGCTACAATTAGGCTGTGTGTCTGCCAAATTGTTTTTTTTTCTCAGGTTGAGTGTTTGTTTTCTGTTGTTGTCAATAAAAGCATTGTTTTTTTGAGCACTTGCAAGTGTAGCGAGTCGCTGAGTAGGTGTTTTGTGGTCACTGCTGAGAGCTAATCAGTGTCACTTTTGAGCTAGCCATCCAATCACAGTGGAGGAGAGGCGGGACAATACCATGCAACTGTCAGCAACTGTTTGTTAAAAACTTTTAACCTGTAATGTTACAGTGGTGATACTCTGTATCATAGCACCTGACTGAAAAAAACAATGTGCTGCAAAAACACTCACAGCTGAAAATGTTTAGGTAGACATGCAGCCGTAAAAAAAATCTCATGCCTCTTTGTGTGGTGCTGAATAAATGTGTAATTCATATATCTCTCATTTTGGATTCTGACAACCTGTAAACAGATGGCTAGAGGAAAATAGCGTTCGTGATGAAAGAAAGAAAGAAAAAAAGAAAGAAAGAAGGCACCCAGGCTCCTCGCCCTGCCGGCGCCACCCAGGCTCCTCGCCCTGCCGGTGCCACCTAGGCTCCTCGCCCTGCTGGCACCACCCAGGCTCCTCGCCCTGCCGGTGCCACCCAGGCTCCTCGCCCTGCCGGTGCCACCCAGGTTCCTGGTCCTGCCGGTTCCAGCCCAGCTCTTGGCCTTACCAACGCCACCCAAACGTCCTGCCCTACTGGCACCTCCCAGACGTCTTGCCCTGCCGGCCCCAGTCCTGCTGGCTCCAGTCCAGCTACCTCCAGTCCGGCCGGCTCCAGTCCAGCTGCCTCCAGTCCCGCCGGCTCCAGTCCAGCTGCCTCTCCAGCTGGCTCTCCTAAAACCCCCTGCCTTGTGTCTCCTACGGTATCATCCATGGGTCATACCTCCCGCCCCTCCCTGGTGGTCCTTCCCACTACTTGGGACGGATTCCCCGGCTACACCCTGGCTTCCTGCCGGGGCACCTGACCCACGAACCTATCCTGGTCTGACCCTCCCATCCCTCCCCTTGTTCCTGTAGCCGCTCTTTAGAGAGGGGGTAATGTCATGACTGTGTTTGTCCACCAGATGTCACTGTATTTCGCCAGCAAACCCCAGCAAACTACAGTGGCTTTAGAACTACATTTCCATACATTCTTTCACGCACACACCCGGTCTGTCATCTACACTGATTTACAACCACAGCTTTCTCCGTTCTCCGTTGATTACCTGGACTATATATTCAGTTATTCATCCTCTGTTTGTCA